GGGCCATCAATGCCGCAAAGCCCCTCAACTCAGCTGGCCGGGGTGCAAGACAGCACCCGCTGCTGAGAAGGCAGGGGTCGCAGGTGTGGCTCTGCTGGGACCTCCTCAGCTTCATCCTGCAGAGCAAACACCACAGGCAGCCTCGGACCCTCCAGGGCTGGCTGGGCAGGCAGGATAGGGGCCCAGGAGGCCCGCGGTCCTCTCCACTCCCCACGGACCCGGGGCCTGACCCAGCCCAGTGACCCAAGCAAAAGGAAACTCAAGGCCGGGCGCGGTGGCTCACGCCTGTAATCCCAGCACTTTGGGAGGCCGAGGCGGGTGGATCACGAGGTCGGGAGATCGAGACCATCCTGGTCAACATGGTGAAACCCCGTCTCTACTAAAAATACAAAAAATCAGCTGGGCATGGTGGCGCGTGCCTGTAATCCCAGCTACTCGGGAGGCTGAGGCAGGAGAATTGCCTGAACCCAGGAGGCGGAGGTTGCGGTGAGCCGAGATCGTGCCATTGCACTCCAGCCTGGGCAGCAGGAGCGAAACTCCGTCTCAAAAAAAAAAAAAAAAGGAAACTCAAGCCCCGGCCCCACCCTCTGGAGGCATCTGAAGGTCTCGGCAGGCCCAGCCTCCCCCGGGGGCTCTGCACCCGCAGCCACCCACCTCGGATGGAGAGGGAGTGATGATGGGCAGAGCCAGGCCCAAGTCCCCACTGGGTGACGGGGGGGTCACGGTGCCTCACCCTCCACCGCCTCTGCAGACCGGCCCCACCCCACCCTTCCGGCCCAGGCACCGGAACTCAGCCTAAAAGGTGCCTAACCCGAAGGCCTGAGTCCGGAGGCTCTGCCTCCTGCTGCGGAGGGGTGTCCTGCTCCGCCCACCCACCCCCCGTGTGGCAGGGAGAGGCCTGGCGGGTCGGGGGGCTGAGGGGTCTGTAGATACTTCCCTGCAGAGACCAAGGCGGGGTTTTCCCAGCCCTCCAGCCCCGGCCAGCCGTCACGCTTCATCACCCCACGTGAGGGCCGTGGGCGTGGGGTGGGTGGAAGGCCCCATGTCACGTGCATGACACACGGTGTTGCAACACAGATGTCATCACGCCGAGGCCCCGTGAGTCACTGCCCCAGAGCGGGGACTGCCCTGGCCTCCCAAACAAACACCCTTTGTCCCCAGGCCTCTGCTGCCAGGCCCACCTGTGTACCTGTCAGACGCCGGCGGCTCAGCAGGCACAGGCAGGTCCGGGCGTGTTCCCCGCTCCCAGACATGCTGCCACTCCAGGCTTAGGCCACGGGAGACCCCGGGGGACAGGCCCTGAGGTTGCCACAGCTCAGAGTGGTCTGAAGGGCAAACTGGCCAAGCCCAGCCCGCGAGCTATAGCCACAGGTCCCAGCTCTGCCCCCAGCTCCAGCCCCAGCTCTGCCCCCGGCTCCAGCCCCAGCGGCCTCCAGCATGGCAGGTCCCAGGGCAGCGCTCTGCAGGCAGGAAAGAAGCCTCCCAGGGGCTTCCCCTAAGGACAGCTCGCTGAGCAGCCCCTAGCTGAGGGTGGGAGGCCCCTCTCTGGACCCCCTCACCCAGTTTGGGGAGCCCCAAATGCCGGGGTGGCCATCACAGCTCTTTGGGCCCCCTGTTGACTGTCTGGTGTGACAGGCTCTGTGGCAGGACCAAGGCTTTGTGGCCTGGACCCCAGGAACTCTGCCCACGGCCACTCCGGGCACTGAGTATCAGGCTGAGGGCTCAGGCCCCAAGGCCCTGGCCAGCTGCCCTGGGTTTGCTCCGTGGGGGCCAAGCTGCTGACTCTGCAGAGAGTCCGGGCCCCAGGGCAGAGCCCCTCACAGACCCGAAGACACAGAGGCCATGCACCAGTCACAGGGACACACAACTCTCGACCTGGGTCAACACTGAGCACTGGGCAAACAGATACTTAAAAAGCAGCACAGGTGGCCCCCAGACGTCCCCCACACCCCCCAGGCCACGCTTGCCCCGAAACTCAGGTGACAGTGGTCAGGACCTGTGGTGCAGTCTGGGGCCCAGGACAGGCCACAGAAACAGGCTGAGGTTACTGCAGAGGCCGGCGGGCAGCCCAGGGGCCCTTGGAGCAGACCCCCTCTCAGCAGGGCAACAGGGATGGGGAGAGGGGGCGAAGTCAGATGCCAAAACTGGGTCCCACAGCGCCTGCCTGTCCTGGCTGCAGTGCCAGGGTCCATACCCAGGCACCCCCAGGGGCCAGGCCAGGGCGGCCGTATCCCCCACATGCCCAACAGTGGGGCCCTCGAGGCACCAAGAACGGATGGACAAGGGTGTCCACACCTGACCCACAGGGCCGGGCTGGGACCAGCCCTCCTCACAGCCAGGAGCCCCCACCACCGCCTCTCCCTGGCTCCTGCTGCCTCCCTTGAGGTGGCCGGTGCTCCTGGCCCCAAGAGACTTTCTAGCTGCCCTGAGCTGCCATCCACATTTCTGTCTGAGTTTAACACCAGGACAGCAGCATGGACTGGGAATACTGCTTCTGACCTCACCGAGGCAGCCCCGGGGCCGCCGTGCCAGGGCGGGCCGGGAAGGTGCAGGCATGGCCCCTCCCAGGACGGCCGGGAGGCCACAGCAGCAGCCTCCGACGTGCCCAGCCCCGGCCAGGGAGTTCACAGAAGCCAGGCAGGTGGCACCGGCGCCAGGATGCCCATCCCCCCCATTCAGCCCCTGCCCGGCCCCCACCCCAGCCCCCCCCATTCAGCCCCTGCCCGGCCCCCACCCCAGCCCCCACCCCAGCCCCCCTCCTTCAGCCCCCGCCCGGCCCCCACCCCTGCCCCGGCCCCCCCTCCCCATCTCCTTGTCTCTTGTCTCCCTCTCGCTTTCCGGGGCCCTGGGTCCCATTTTCAGCATCTCCATCTGTCATCACAGCTCCCCGCTCCGGGGCTGGGTGGGGTGAGGGACAGGCTGCCGCTGAAGGACCTGGAGGGCCCCCATTCCCAGATGGTGAGGCCAGGGTGGTGCTCCGAAGGGCCCGGCTGGGCTCTGCCTGATCCGGGGAGCCTGGTCCCAGCCCACTCTCGCCCAGGGCTGGGGAGCAGAGGGCAGGACGGGTGAGCGAGGCCCAGCCGGGCAGGGGAAGAGCCACTGAAAACTTGAAGCAAACAGGGGTGTTGCAGCCCTGGGTCTCACGCATACTAGGAGAGTGCAGGCCACACCGGGCCTCCTCAGGGCTCCAACACTGCCGTCCCCGCCACCCAGCTCCGGGACGTCCGGGCACAGCCTCTGTTTCCCCCGTGCGACAGGCAGCAGCCCTGCTCTCTGGAGGGGAACTGCGGAGCGCCGTGGCCAAGCAGGGCAGGGGCTGCAGAGGGGAGAGACCCTGAGCTCCGGGTCTGGGTCCCAGGGGCAGACCGTGCCCACCAAGGGGGTGCTGAGAGCAAAGAGGAGCCCCAAGCCTGGGCTTTTGCATCAAGGCTGGTATCCCGCACCCCACACCAGGGCTTCAAGACCCTTGAGGTGGTGCCAAAGCTGTTGACCTCCCCGCCACCCCACCTCCTGAATGGGACCCCAGAGTGGTGCCCATCGCCAGCCCTTGCCTGGCTGGACGTCCCCAGGCTGGTGGCCACAGCCTGGGCAAGTAAAGCAGAGGCCCTCCAGACAGCTGCAGCCCCTATGCCACCCTGGGGGCCCCAGGGAGAGAGGCGGGATGGGTCAGCAGCCAGGCCCACCCCCTGGGGCTTGGTGCCCACCCACACACCTTGCTTGTCCTGCCTCGATGCTCAGGTGCCAGCCCAGGCAGGTCCACGTCCCAGGGGAGGGGTAACAGCCGTGGACGCCAGCCTCCTCCAACCTCCCCGACCGCACCACCCACCAGGGGTCCTGAGGTGACGTCTCTGCAGCTCAGCAGAGGCCCTGACGTCCTGAGGCCAATTTGCTCTCTGGTCTGGGTTTGCCAGAGCCAAAATGGGGTGGGCGGGGGACGGGACCCAAATCCACAGGACCTGCCAGGAGGCAGCCGCATGGGAGTCGCACGCGGGGCCCACCAACCCTCCATGGGCAATTCTGGCGTCTGAGAGGCTGGTCCTTAGGGTGTGGCTGCCCCTGGGCCAGGCGGGGAGAAGCCTGCTGGTCCCACCCCTGCTCCACCTGGGTGCCCAGGGCACCCCATGGTCTGGGCCAACCTGAGCCCACAGGGGTGCCCTTCAGCTCCGCACACCTGTGGCGACCAGCACATGTGACCACACCGTCCCGGGTGTGGCCTGCACGCCCTCCCACACAGAGGCCCCCACATCCCCCCCCAGGATGCAGGCCTCCCGAGGGCCCAGAGCTGTGCTATGTCCCAACCTGGCAGCTTCCAGGGCCCCCAAAGGCTGGACAGGCCCGTGGACAGGCTGAGCAGGGCCTCCGCGGACAGTGGTCCCCATCCTCAGGGCCAACGCGGCGCCTGCAGGGCCCAGCCTCCCACCACCGCCACCCCAGGCCGCGCAGTCTGCCCCGAGGTTCTGTGGCCCAGAGTCCCAGCTTCCGGGCTTTGCGTGAGCAGCACCCTTCTGCCCCCACCCGGCCCCTCCCAAGACCTCAGCAGCCCGGCCTCCACCCCCACGGAAACATCCACGCAGCACACGAGGGTGGCAGCCAGCGTGGCGGCTCTTTATTGTGATGACCACAGGCACCCACGGGAAGATCCCCAAACTCCGGTGGCAGCTCCTCGCCCAGCCCCCCTCGGCACCCTCACGTGCCCGGGAGCAGTCCAGAGAAGCTGGAGCCCGCCTGGACGGTGAGCACAGCCAGTGGGAGGCACGGGGACGTCACCATGGTGGGCAGCCACACCCCAGCCCCTTGACGGGCAACGTCTGCCCTCCTGCCCTGTGCTAGGAGGTGCTGAGGCCCCAGAACTCTGCGCCCCGAGCACTCCCAAACCCTCTTGCTCACATCTGGCCCAGCCTCACACTCTGGCCCTCACGTCCCCGCGCTCACACACCCGCCCATCCTCAGACTCCCGCCCTCACCCCCCGCCCACCCTCACGCTCCCGTCCCCACCTCACCTGCAGCTGCAGCAGACCCTGCACCTGTGCTGTGAAGACCTTGCTGTTGCTCTCCAGGCCTGAGATGGTCTCCAGGGACCTGAACACAGCCCCGCATGGCAAGGCTGAGGCGTTGCAGGTCCATGGGGCCAAGACCCACCCCAGTGCCCAGAGACCCTGCGGGCCTGTGACCCCCCAGCCCAAGGGTGGTCCCCAGGGCTGTGCCTGGAGCGGGGGCTGAAGTCACTCACCTGTGGCGCTGGCACAGAGACTCAAGGCAGACGACACGCACGGCACCCCAGACCCGCGGCCGGGCCTTGCCCTGCAGCTCACTGTGGTCTGCGGAGACAGCCCTGGGGAGGGTGGCGCATGGGGGGTGGGGGTGGGGGCCGAGGGAGGGGCTTTGGGGCACCCGGCCCAGGACAGGCCCAGGAGTGGCTGCTGGGGCTGGGGAGGGTGGGCCTGAGGCCCAGAGTGTAGCAGGGACCCCACGCCCAGTCCAAGGCCCCCGTGGGCAGGGGGCAGCTCTCTAAGGGGACCCGTGCCCAGGGCCAGGCACCCCCGGGAAGCTCGGCCCCATCCGGCTCACCACGTGCAGGCAGGCATAGAACTGGAAGATGCCGGACGCAGGTGCCGTGAACCGACCCGAGGCCAGACTCAGACGGGAGCCTTGCAGGAAGGCGCCTTGGGTGGCAGGCTGAGGGCAGCGGGTGAGCAGCTGGCACCCCACAGACCCCTCCTGGGGAAAGTGCCTGCAGCCGACAGCCCCTCACTGGAGCAGGCCTTTCCTGCCGGCTGAAGGGCCCCCGCCGGGTGGACAGGCGGACTCTGGTGGAGCTGGGTGGTTTTCAGGCTGTGGGTGGGGCCTGGGGCCACTCTCACTGTGGGTGCCAACAGGCGGACCCTCCAGCCCACACCCAGGAGGAACCCCCTGCTTGGCCTGGGCATAAGGTGTGGTCTGGGACCCCAGGGCCTCCCAACCCTGACCCAAGGCAGCCCCTTGCCCTCCAAGCCCCCTCCAGACCTCCGACCCACCTGGGGCCCCACCCAGCTCCCTGACTCTGGACCGGGCTGGGCCCCAGGCCCCACCCACAGCCTGAAAACCACCCAGCTCCACCAGAGTCCGCCTGTCCACCCGGCGGGGGCCCTTCAGCCGGCAGGAAAGGCCTCGCCCACCAGCCTTGGGCCCACCCCCGGGGGCCACACGGGGTCCGGCAGCCCTGAGAACCGGTGCTCCATGGCCTCTGCGGGGAGGAGGGCACAGGCACCTCCGGACCCTGGGCAGTTCGGGGCGGCTGAGCTTTCAGCATCTCCTGAAACTCCCAGAGCAGGGTCTCTGGGTCATTTCTGCATCTGGAGGTCCTGGGGGGCACAAGAGGCCCCGCTGGGGGGAGACAGAAGACAACGGTGAGGGTCCCAGTGGGACCCCGTGGGAGGTAGCACCACACCCTGTCCAGGCTCACTGGCTTCGTGTCCCGGCCTCGGCACCGCTTCCTCAACGCGCCGGCGTCTGGCCATCGGACAAAGTTCAGCCATGTCCTGCGGACGTCTGAGAGCTCAGGTCCTGAGGCCTGGGAGGGCTGAAGGGACGGGACGGGACGGGACGGGACGCGGAGAGTGCACTGAGGCTGTGCCCTGTGGAAAGCTGGGAACCCCAGTGCAGACACAGGGAAGATGCCACAAGCCATCGCCGGCAGGAGAGACCAACAGCCGCCATGGGGGCCTCAGAAGCTGTCCCGATGCCGGGCACTGGCAGGGCAAGCATGCAGGGCTTCTGTGGACAAGCTGGACCCTGACGCCCTGAGCCCGGCCGGGCGCCTGGCCCTGGCTAGGGCAGGGATGGGGCCTTGTGGGGAAGACAGGAGAGAGTTTTCCACGGGCCTTACTGGGAGTCCCAGAGGCACCAGGCCAAGTGGCTCACAGCGGGGAAGGGGCATGGACCCTCCCTCCAAGGACTCCGTACCTTCCAGTTCACCCCACTCCTTGGGTTCAGAGCTGCCCCAAGAGCCTGCTGCCCTCTCCTCTCCAATCACCCCCTCTTAAGCCAGCCCAGCCCCCCACAGTCAGACGGAGCGTTAAGCGGGTGTGGGCTGGGGTAGCCTGGCCTGTAAGCTCCAACAAGTGCCAGGCTCCAACAGCAAGTGCGCGTCCTGGCCGGGAGAGAGCCCCTCCCCAGGGCAGGGCGAGCCAAGGGACCCTGGCCCACAGCAGAGTCCCATCCTGAGCTTGGCCTAGCCCCAAACACAGCAGGGCCAGGTTCTGAAGACGGCCTCGGCCTCCTGAGTGGACACAGCAGGGGGTCCTCCCAGTGGACCAGACAGGCTTCTACCATGGGAACGTGGGGGACAGGAGGGTGGGCACGTCCCCATCCCTGAACCGGGCCCACCTAGGGAAAAACAAGCCAAGACCATTCAAATGCACCCCCCACTTCTCACGCGCCCCCTATCTGCTGGCTCTCCTGGCGGCCTGCAACGTGCTGGAAGGACCTGGTGCCCTGGAGGGCGCGGGCATCAGCCTATCTGGAGAATGAGGGCCAGAGGCTGCAGAGGGCGGACCGCAGGAGAACCATCCCACCCCGGACACCTGGAGGGTCAGCCTGAGCACAAACCTGTAGCCCACACCCTTCCAGGGAGGCCTGGAGCAGCCCTGGGCAGGGGCGCCCCTCCCTTCCCTGGGACTGGCCGAGTGCTGAGGACCCCTCCACCGCCCCACCCCTGCCAGCAATGCCAGCCTGGCCCTCACGCCGGGAACCAGCCCACTCTTCCTGAGCTGGCAGAGCCACGGCCTCAAGGCCTCAACCCTCCTCAGCCTGCCCATCTGGGAAATGGGGCCGTGGGGGCTGGGAGGCAGCCGGGCTGGCTGCCGCAGAGGCGCCCTTGGGAGGAGGGAAGCCAGCACCAAAGGCGTGAGGGCTGCAGGCAGGGGTTGGTCTGGTGACTGCGGCTCCCCTCCCAGTCCTGGGGCCCGACGGCAGCAGCTGGAGACCATCGGGGGACCCTTGGCAGGAGGGGAAACCCAGGGTTGAGGTGGGCTCAGGGCCTTCTGCCTCTGCGAGGATGCCTGGTCAGGCTGGGGCATGCAAGAGGGGGTGCTGGCTACACAGGACCCCCAAAAGCACAAGCAACAGGCTTGCCGCGGTGTCTCCAGCCACAGGAGTTACGGGTCGCTGGGCTCTCAGGGGGTCTGGTGAACCATCTAACAAGCTGCCGACCCCTCCTCACCCCCACCCCGAAATCAGCAATTACAGCCAATAGCAACAGGTTGCTCAGGACAGGCCCAGGCCTCAAACGGCCAACTGCAGCCCCCAACCCCTGCGGGAAGCCCCCTTCGCCAACCCACCCCAGACAGCGGGGGGCCAGTTCCTGGCCGCAGGGGAGGAGAGGGCTTCCCAGAGGCTGGCAGGGCGGGCTGCAGCAGACCCCATGACAGGACCCATGGCCAAGGCCTGGAGGAGCAACAGGGCCTGCTCAGGGGGGACCACAGCCTACAGCCGAAGCTCCAAGCGACCACAAGTCCCCCGACGGCCGCACCCACATGCGTCCAGGCCGCCTACCTTAGGGGCCTCCGGCATTCCCTGGCAGGAAGACGCAGTGGCGGTGGCGGTGGGGGGATCCCCGCGCTGGCTGGGCTGCCGCGTCCTCTTGGCCTCCCGCCGGGCCCCAACACCCCCAAGCAGAGCGAGCCAGAGGAGGGCCATGACCACGGCCCGGGCCCAGCGCCGCATGGCTCCGTCCTGCGGCGAGTCCCCGCGCCAGGACGCAGTCCTAGGGGCAGCCGGCGCTCAGAGCCCCCCGAGCAGGGACGAGGCCCAGGGGCACGTCCAGCCTGCGCTGCTGCATGTCTGCAGGGATGTGCCCAGATCTGCAGCGCGACGGCCCTGCTCAGGTCCCAGTGCCGCAACCCTCTAGCCTGCTCACTCCACCGCCAGATAAACCCTCCCCTCCCCCCTCCCCTCCGCTCCTCCCCAGACCTTCCGGGCTCCAAGGGGAGGGCTCACGGGCTCACACTCAGATGAGCTGCCGTGGCGGAGATGAGGCGGAGACCCCCTCACCTCCACCTCCATTCCTTGCCTCCCCTCCCCAGACCCCACCCTGGCCCTCCCCCCTTCCCCAAAGGTCCGCCTCATGCGGGGAACGTGAAGACAGCTGACTCCTCACCCTCCCTCCCAGCTGAACTCAACTGGCCTCCCGCACCTGCCTCTGCAGCCAGCCACCAGCAGCAAGTGTCCAAGGGCTCCCCGGTAGCTGCAGCCACCAGCCATGGACAGAGCCCAGCCCCTTCCCACAACTCCTCACCCAGGCCCTGCCGGTGCGCTGCCCTCACAGCCCAGCCCAGGGTCCTGGGGATGCTGGCCGGCCTGGCTGGAAAGGCAGGGCCCTGAGTTACAGCCTGGGTCAGGTGACGCCAGGTCAAGGCAACAGGCCCCTTGGGCCCAGTGGCTGGGGGAAGGGGGTAGCCAGATGGGGCTGGAAGAACCCCCAGCCGCTGGTCCGGGCTGAGGCCAAGAGTAGCCCCCAAATTAACAAGAAGTTCAATGTGCCGGCCCTGATGGACAGCTTGGAACACTCCAGACCCCCCCCTCATTTGCCAGACACAAGGGCAGCCACACTGAGACCCCAGCCCCAGGCCACATCCACAGGCAGAGCCACCGGAGACCAGGCTGGGATGGGGATGATGCTTGGGAACCTGCCAGGGACCCTGGCT